TGCTCTCAAACTCCTGACCTTGTGATCTGCCTGCCTCAGCCTTCCAAAGTGTTGGGGTTACAGGCATGAGCCACCGTGCCCAGCCTATTTTTTATTGCTATTTGCATATGTTTTAATTTTAAGACAAAGGAAGAACCCTATAAAACCTACTCTAAGCAAACAGCGGCTAGTTTTTCCTCTCTAATCTTATTCTAAAATGGTAAGTGACAATGATAAGGTTAAGATGTCGCTTCCCTAGTCAGTCCTTTCACTATATGGCCCATCCCCTTGTGTTCTAAGCTCAGGAAACAGTCCATTCCATGTTCCAATTGTGAGACAGTATAGCACAGTAGTAATGAGAGCAGCTCCAGCAGTCAGATACCTTCACTATAACTCAGCAACTTCGCTACCATCCATTTATATATCCTTTGTCAAGATATTTGTCCACTCACTGCCTCAGCTGCCTCATCTGCAAAATGGGGAAAGTAACAAGTCCTTCTGCGGTAAGCAGTCTCTAAGAGGGCCCCAGTGATCCCAAACCCTGGTGTTCACACCCATGTGTAATCCTCCTCCCTAAGTGTACGCTGCCTTTTTGTGACTGTTTTTAAAGAACAACATGTAGCCAGGAATGGTGGCTCATGCCTATAATCCCAGTACCTCGGGAGGCAGAGGCAAGAGGATTGCTTGAGCCCAGGAGTTCAAGGCCATCCTGGGCAACAAGGTGAGACCCCATCCCTGCAAAAAAATTCTAAAATTAGCCAGGCATGTTAATGCGTGCCTGTAGTCCTGGCTACTCAGGAGGCTGAGGTAGGGGGATCCCTTGAGGCCAGAAGATCTAGTGAGCTATGACTGCCACTGCACTCCAGCCTGGGCTACAAAACAAGACCCCATCTCTTTAAAAAAAAACAAAAAATAAAAACAAGAAACTGGGTGACAAAACATGTTTGTTGTTTTCAAAATGCAAACTTCTGGAATGATTTGCTATTCAGAATTAAATAGCTAATCCACCTAACCTCAGAAAATTGTGAGGATTAAAAGAAATAATACATGGCAAGCTTTGAAAAAAAGTGCTAGTCACAGAACGAGTGCCCAAGACATGTTTTTTTTTTTCTATTAATAGAAATATTAAAATCTGGCAACATGGAGGTAAAATGCCTCTTCTATCATTAGCTCTGATGTGATATGAGAAGACTTTCCAACTCTAAGAAGCCAGGGAAAATATTCACTACTGGCTTTAATAACACCCTACAAAGAAATGTCCAACCTGTAGAAAACTCCCTACCACTGCTCATGTTGTACTGACAAGATAGTGACTAAAATAGTAGCAAAAAGGAGAAATTAAGACAAATGAAATACAGTCTCTAACTGAATCATTCCGTACACACAAACAAACAAACAAAAACAACTACATATAGCCAAGTCTCAACTTCTCAAAATGTGATATCAAAAGCAGACATGAATTCCAAATGGCTAAAATAGTCTTGCACCAAGTACTTCTTTAGGGTTCTCTGGAAATCTGATAAACCAATGTCATGAAGGGTAAATATACAATTTCTTATTTACATAATTATCTTACCCTCCAATATTTGGAACACACAACCAAAAGTGACCTTTGTGTAAATGCGCAAAAAGAGATGCTTTGGCAATTCTGACAATAAATTGGTTTGGATTCCTCCTCAAATATTGGTTCAGTATCCTGAAAAGAGAAAGATTTGTAAAACTTTAGGAATAGCTTGGTTGTCAATTTAAATTATCATACAATGATAAAGGCAATAAAATGAAATAAAGGCATCACTTGACATGTTCATCATTTTGGCCCCTCAGGTAAGAGCCAAGGTAGTAAAAAGCAGCAAAGATATACCCTCAAAGCAGTTAGGCACAAATATTGTTGCTACAAAATCCCCTGAGCTTTCGATTCTGATGAGACTCTGAGCGTCATCGCTCTGGTAATGACAGATGCTGAAGTTTGCCTTAATCCTAATTTTTGTAGCTGTATGTGCTTTTAAAAAAATCTAATCAATTCCTTTGTTTTCTCCTGAATTCCATGCCTAAAAATTCCCTAGCTGAAGAGAGTAACATCAAAATTGTCAGTCTTGATCTTTCTCATTAATATAAAATAACAAGAAATTCAAGCCCAAAGAACTGAAACAGATGACTAAAAATGGCTTTGTATATTTTTTGTAGTGATTTGCTTTATTTTTGTTTTCCTTTGAGTCAATTTAAACAGAAGCAGTTGAGGAGAACTCCACCTCTTTTATGTTTCTCCTCTTCATATCCTGTGCAATATGTTTTTCTCTTATATCTGTGATAGAGCAGATGTTGCCACTAAAACTGAATAAAAAATTCACTCCCCTAGCATACTAGAGAATCTTCCATACTATGTCTATAAGAAAATTATCAAAAAAGAACAGCTTTTTCCCTTCCCCTTAAAAAAATGGAAGTGGCATATCATTACTAAAATTTCCAACGACAGAGAATAAAGCCAGAAAAATCACCCCAGTTTCCTTTTTCTCACCTGCGTGTCACTTATTTCCGAGGTGACAATCCATACCTTCAAGATGCCAGTCACCGAGAGTGCTACCACAGTGTCCTCTAAAATGAGAAGGGACAAAAAAGCAGCCCAGGTTACAAACATAACATGCTTGCTTTCTAAATATTTAGATGTTTTGCTAAATGAAATTAGACAACAGCATGTTTTACATACAATTAGCAGAAAAGCACAACTCTCTATTTCATGAAACAGAAACCAGGTTTTGAAACACAAGTTAATGAACATGGCCGAACACTTAAAGGAAAATTATTTCTAGCTAATTAATTTTTTATTTCTAATTAAGAAGTTTTTAATAATTTCAAATGTTCTTGATTAACAATGAACTTTTACATTTCAAAATCCATTATTTATCATGGATGAGCTCAGTCACTTTATTTCTTCGAGGCACTAATTTCTCCCCTTTTCCCACATACCTTGCCCAACTTCCAGATATTTCATTGCACATTACATCCTCCACAGAATGTAATCAAGAAAAAAATATGATATAAAACCTAAATTCCTAAGCTTCAGGTAAGGGACCAGTGACAGTACCAGGGTCATGTACAGGAAATTTGAGAGGATGAGCATTAGAAGGCAGTCAATTCGGGCTCCAGAGGGAGGGAGGTGAATGTTAAAAGCAAAATCACCTTTTTCTTCACTAATTAACCATAGAACCTTAGATAACAAACTATCTTAAATTCAATTTTCTTATCTGGAAGCAAATATAAATGATTAACAAGAGTACCTATCCTAATGAGTTGTTATAAAAATTAAGACACACCAAGGGAAACCATTCAGCACATACTAAATTCTCAACAAACTTGAGTTATTACTGTCATTTAAAAAATTGTTATCTTTAAACAAAAACCTTACCAATATCACATAGTTCTCTAGGCACTGTAAGGCATTGGAATGAATTATTAATTGAAGTTACATTCTATTCTTTTCAGACTACAGTGCCTACATATACAGAAGGAGTGTAAAAATTTTAAATATGCAAACTGCTTGGTCACAAATACAGATCTTTTTTAAATAAAGAATTCATTTTAACTAATATTAGAGGTAAGTATATGAATGATGAGTTCCCTATTGCCTGGAAAATTAAAGCGAACCTCATTCTCACTGTTATGTTTAGGAATCAAGCAGTAATTCTCTAAGATGCTTAAAGAACCTCTCTGAGAAGGTTCACGTGAAAGAAACCTGCTCAATTTTGTTTTACCAAACATCTCCCAAATATATTTGACCAGAGATTCCACCTTTTTCACTAATACCTATTAACAAACTTGAGAACCAACACTCTGAAGAACAGTGGCAGGAAATGAAGCTGAACACAGCCAGGCTCATTCACTGATGTATTGTCTGTGGCTGCTTTTGTGCTACAACAGCAGAGCTGACTAGTTGAAACATAGATCATATGACCTGCAGAGCCTAAAATATTTCATATCTCGCCCTTTACAGTACAAGTTTGCCCACCCCTGATCCACAAGATGAATTCCCTAGCTGATATACAGGGCTGTCAAGATCTGTCTCCTGCCAACTCTGCCAGCCTCATATCCTGCCACTCCTTCCCTCATACTTCATGCTCCAGAAAAAGATAATTTCTAGTTTCACAAATACAACTGTCATAATTTCAATGCTTTTGTCCCTACAGACTATCTCCTCTGCCAGAAACACCCTGATCACATGTCTGCCAAACTCTTCCTCATCTTTCAAATCCTAGATCAGACTTTATCTGATCTGGGCAGCCTTCTATTGCTCTCAAGCAGCTTCACTGCCATCCTCTTCATATTGTTTTTCCATCTTGTACACTTTGCACTCTAAACTGTTATATGTTTATATACAATTATTCTTTATTAGAATCTGACTCCCTTAAATATTACTATTTCAATCCCTTGCACCTGGAAGATTGCAGCCATTCAGTAAGTATTTGCTGAATGCCTACTGAATAAAAAGCTACATGCTGATTTTCCAACCCTAAGAGGTTACAAAGGGAAAGCTCCTATAAAGTTGAAGGCAATTCACTAATGGGAAGCACTGTAACACCTCGATTAAAGGAACTACTCCAGGGTCCATTTGGCCACCAATCAGCCACATAGTTACTTTGTGATCTTAAGCAAAGACTCCCTCGCCCTAACCCTCATCACTCTCCCCATCTATATGATGAATATTAACAGTACCTACCCCGCTAAGTATTGCAAGAATTGGACATATGTAAATGCTTAGCGTGGTGCTTGGTATTGTAAAAACACAATAAAGAAAAGTCTTCACGGTGATGGTGCTGGTGACACTGGTAGTAGTGGTGGTGGTTATTGACCAGTCTCTATAGGAAGCACATAACTATGAAGCCATTTGAAAGTAAAAGAATGCTCCTTAAAAGACTTATAAAAGTAAACATTCAATGTTCTGCATTAATTCGTGCTCTTTTCCTGAACAACTTTACTTTTTCTTTCACAATTGTTACCGAGAGGTTTCAACAAAAATGAAGAAAAGATAATATTTATTGAGCATCAAGTATCTATCAGCCCCTCCAGTAACTTTCATTAAATTTAACTGTGTATAATCTCTCCTTTTTCACTATCTCCATTTGAAATGCAAATATTTCCTATGCCTCTTAAGCAAGTGATAGAACCAGGCTTTAGAAATATATACTTAAAACTACAGTTCCTCCCACCACACCCCCAAAGGTTAAGATGTTCTTCCTCCACTTCAGAAAATCACCCACATACTCTGTCAAAGGCTGGTAATCTGTGCATCACGGAATGGAGATAAGCCAACAATTAACTCTTCATTCAATCAAAGATCCCTTTATGAAGGAGGAAACAGACCATAAATTATTGCTGTAGTTATTTCTTAAATAGAAGACTATAGCCCAAAGTATTAATTTACGATAAATTATAGAATTTTATAGTAAATTAAACATTAAGTCATGGTGCTAAAGTTCCTAACAGGCATAAAACACTGACCTTGTGTTCGGTGGGATCGAATAATACTCATGGAGCTAATCCAGTCTGGTGATATCTTTGATACTAAGGAGTACAATACTTCAAGGCTGGTAGCATCCACAACAAGGATTTCAGGGTAATGTCCATGGCATAAAAGCCTTCCTTCTCGCTGATTCCCAACAGAGAACTGGTAGAACTACATTCATGCCAAAAGGAAAAAGATTTCTGAGTGTTCTCCTTTAATTTAGATACTTGATTAATATGCATTCATCAAGGTTATTACAATATTCTCCTAAAGCTCAACTTCTTTGGTAAGAATTTTAGCTATTTGCCCAATGGTACATATCATATGGGTGTATGTGCACATACATATGTTAAGTTATATTAACATTTTTAAATAGCTAACAAAAATTATTTTCCTAACATCTTATCCTCCCTTTTGAACTATTTTGAAACAGAATTTGTGATAATTATTTTTATCCCCCTCTAGCATTTAAAACAGAACTGTTGAATAAATTAATAAAACACCTGAATAAAATCAGCTTTACAAATCAAATCAAAAGGGAAGCTTAGGCGGGTCACAAAAATAATATGAATTTGAAATGAGCAAAAATAGGAAGTATACGCTTATAATTACTAGTTATGCAAATACAATTTTAGAAGAATGATTGATGTTCAAACATAATCAGGGCCTCAGCTTGCTTATATGTAAAATTATATACTCCTATTTAATATGTAAGGGTGTCAGGAGGTCTAAATCAAACACAATACAAGAAATGCCTACACCATATCTGCTCAATAAATGTGAGTTACCTTCTCTTCCTTTCCATTGAAATCGTAATTGATCATATTTTTAATATAATTTATAATTTTCTCAACAACACAATAAACAATTAATAAACTGAAGTACAGAGAATGTGACGACTATGAAAAAGTAAAAAAGAATACCAGGAATGTAAGTCAGAAACTACAAATTCCTGTGTCACACTCTACAGGCATATCAGTCATGCCTTCTGAAGAGCTGGAAAGTTTTAAAAATACGTGTCCAAGGATCAACTGCATGAGCAATAAAAAGGATATGGTCCAAAAAGCAGGTCAATTTATGTCAATCACAAGTGGAATCACAAAGGCTTTTACAAGGAAGAATTCCATTATTTAGGACCTAGAGCATTTCCCCAAGCAGTAAAGGGCCTCTCGAGTAGGTACCCAAGGTAGCCCAGAACAGCAGAAGCAGTGGCAATCTGCTTTCCCTCTAACTTTCCCCATTAGTCTCCTCTCCTTTCCTACCCCTCCCAACTCTCCCATCTTATGAGGAGTACTTTTACTGCTTCAATTCCAGTTTCTTGTCCTATTACTACTACCATTTTTCATATTACTGTAATAGTTTGTGCTTAGAGTCACAGAAATAGATACTAACCTGTATGCCAGTATGTGTGCAAGCTAATTTTGTAAATTCAATACATCTGCCATCACTCACATCCCAGAGGCACATCTCTCTATAAAACAAAATAATGGTCAGCTTTGAATGTGACTTTTTAAAGCACCATTCAACTTTGTCACAGTGATTTAAAATTAATCTTCCATTAAAACTAAGACATTTCAGAAAAAGTAGCATATAGTCATTACTGCTATTCATCAAAATTTCCAGTCCTCCCTCCTACCTTCCTAACCCCCCACCCCCAACCACATTCCACATCATTTCTAGGCCCATAATAGGACTGCATTTCCTGTTTCCCTTTTGGTTAGTAGTCTTGTAAGTAGTTCCGGCCAGAACCAATGCAAGGCCTTCCACAGCTCTGTTCCAGAGAGTGGCTGCTTCACACAGCGGTTGCTCCCTCACTCTGAACCTCAAATTAAGGATAAGAGTGAAGCAGAGTAGAGGCCTCAAGTGACACATGAGGGGCAAGTGACAAAAACAAGAAAAAACTTCTAATTTGAACTACTGAAATTTTATATTTGTTATCCAGGTAGCTAGAGAATTTAGAACTGCAAAAATCAAAAGTTAAAGTCACCTGAATTCCAAACCTTTGCAAATTAAAGATAAGATTCCGGTTTTTATTCTGTATTTATTGTAATTTTGTTGAATGCATACCAAACAAATCTCAAACTAAAGATATAACATTGAAAATTAGAAATCTCAACATGCCTTGTCTATTGAAGAAATAAATTTAACAGAAAAAATTAATAAAATGCAACAATCCTGATACTATTAGGGTTTTCTCTAAGATCCCATTTTTCTATATCTCACATGGTATTACATAAGACAATTCTTCAAGGAGCATCCAATTTAGATTATGCATTGTGATTTAAATTATCCTTTAATTGACCAAAAGCTATAATATTTTTACCTTATGTTGCTTTTTGTTCCAATGTATTATACAAGGTTCTCTTCAATAGGGAGAACAATTTTTGTTTTGTTTTGATTTTTTTGAGATAGGGTCTCACTGTGTCACCCAGGCTGGAGTGCAGTAGCACCATCACAGCTCACTATAGCCTCAACCTCCTGGGGTCAAGTGATCCTCTCACCTCAGCCTCCTGAGTAGCTTGGACTATAGGCGCACGCCATCATGCCTGGCTAGTTTTTGTATTTTTTGTACAGACGGGGTTTTGACATGTTGCTCAGTCTGGTCTCAAACTCCTGGGCTTAAGTGATCCGCCCATCTCGGCATCCCAAAGTGTCAGCAGGATTACAGGAGTGAACCACCACAGATAGCAACAATTTCCTTTTTCCTTTTTTC